TTTTTTTTTTTTTTTTTTTTTTTATTTATTTTATTTATTTTATTTATTTTATTTATTTATTTATTTGGTTTGTTTGTTTGTTTGTTTGTTTGGCGTCATTTTATCGTCATAATGATATCCATATTGCATGGGGGGCATTCTTTCTATTCCATACAATTGCATGCATGCATGCATGCATGCATGCATGCATATATGTACAGTGCATGCACATACATGTGATTGGGGCTTTGTCTGTTAATATGCGTGTATGTGGGGTATTGAGATGTATATTCATCTAAAATAAGTAAATATATAAATCTTTTTTTTTTCTTCTTTTTCTTTCTTTCGTTGCTTAGGCAACATTAACAGATGCCTGGACAAAAGAAAAAGGACAAGTAGATGCAATAAGAGGAATAAAAGAAAGAATAGATGTTGTTAAGGTAGAGGTAGAGAAAGCAGAAAGAGAATTTGATCTTAATAGAGCAGCAGAATTAAGATTCGAGACTCTACCCGATCTAGAGGTATGTCAATTCCTGCTGCTGCTGCTGCTGCTGCTGCTGTTGCTGTTGCTGCTGCTGCTGCTATTATTGGTGGTGTTGCTATTGCTGCTGCTGTTGTTGCTGCTGTTATTGTTGCTGCAAGTGTTTCTTTTGTTGCTGCTATTCTTGTTATTAATATTATTGCTGCTGCTGTTGCTGCTGCTGCTGTTCTTCTTATATTATTATTATTATTATTATTATTATTATTATTATTATTATTATTATTATTATTATTTTATATTGTTATAATTATTATTTTGTACAGAAACAACTACAAGAAGCAGAGGCACAATATAAGGAAGCGCATGCAGAGGGTCGTCGTTTATTAAGAGATGAGGTAACAGCAGGAGATATAGCTAGTGTTGTATCTGTATGGACAGGTATTCCTCTTACTAGATTAAAAGAAACAGAGAAAGAAAAATTATTACATCTTGAGCAAAGATTACATGAAAGAGTTGTTGGACAAGATAAAGCAGTAAGCAACATACTTGCATGCATGCATATGCATGCATGCATATGCATGCATGCATATGCATGTCTTGATGTGTGTATATGCATCCATGCATCTCTTGAATCTATATATAATAAATATAATAAATACAATAAAAACAATAAATATAATATATGTATATGTATATGAATATGTATATGTACGTATACGTTTTTCGTATACGTACGTACATAAAGCATGTACATTTGTACATGCATACGTACGTCTATACGTACGTACGTACGTACGTAAGTACGTATTTGTGTATATGTATATGCATGCACAGGTCCGTGCAGTGTCTACAGCAATCCAACGATCACGTGCAGGACTAAATGACCCTAAGAGACCAATTGCGTCTCTTTTCTTCCTTGGGCCTACAGGAGTAGGAAAGACAGAGTTATGCAAGGCATTAGCTGAATCCTTATTTGCATCAGGTATATTTATATTTATTTATATTTATTTATTTTATTTATTTATATTTATTTATCTATATTTATTTATTTATTTATTTGTATTTATTTATTTATTTTTTTGTATCTTTATGTGTACTTTTTTATACATATTTATAAGACAAAAGGAATAAAATGCCATCTATCTACTGCTGCTGCTGCTGTTGCTGCTGCTGCTGTTGCTGCTGCTGCTGCTGTTGCTGCAGAGGATGCAATAGTACGTATAAACATGAGTGAATACATGGAGAGACATAGTGTATCTCGTCTTATTGGTGCTCCTCCTGGTTATGTTGGCTATGAACAAGGAGGACAATTAACAGATGCAGTACGTAAGAAGCCTTACTCTCTTATTGTATTCGATGAAATGTAAGCAAACCCTAAACCCTAGTAAACCCTAATAAACCCTCATAAACCCTAATAAACCCTCATAAACCCTCATAAACCCTAATAAACCCTCATAAACCCTAGACCCTTGGAGGGTATTGTACACTATATACTTCTGTCTATCTATTTGCATATATATGTAGACTCATTACCCAATAAACAAAAGAAACTGCCTAAGAAAACTCCGTATACATATATATCCCTTCTAGGGTCTAGGGTTTAGGGTTTAGGGTTTAGGGTTTATATATATGTATATGTATATATTTTTTTTCTTTATTTGTTTGTGTATGTATAATAGGGAGAAGGCCCATCCCGAGATATTTAATGTATTATTACAATTATTAGATGAAGGAAGATTAGCAGATAGCAAAGGAAATATAATTAATTTTAGGAATTGTGTTGTTATATTTACATCTAATTTAGGAGCAGAAACTCTTATTGATGCTGCACAAGATGTATCCAAAAGGCCTGCAGCAGAAAAGTAAGATCTATATACATGCATGCATGCATGCATGCATGCATGTAGGTGTCTGTGCATGCATGCATGCATGTACGTGTGTGCGCATGTAGCAGCATGCGTGTGCACATCTGCGCATCGTAGTGTACATGGATCTATTTATGTATGCATGCATGTATGTTTGTGTATATGTGTGCATAAAAACATGCATGCATGCGCTTATTAATTCCTGCCGAGGATGCATGCAAAACAAGCCCCAAAATTTGGGGCTGCGCAGCCACAGCTTAGCGTTTTTTTTTTTTGCTGCTGTTAAGGCCATGGCGCAATAAAGGCGAATCTGAGGCCGTAAATTTATTTATTATTTATTCGTGTCTTTGCGTGTCTTGTATTTTATTTTATTATTTTTTTGTTGTCTTGTGTCTTGGCGTGTCTTGTACTTTATTTTCTTTTATCTTGTCTTATAATAAATAAATAAGAATAATAATCCTATTAAATAAATAAATAAATAGATAAATAGAATAAATAAATAAATATATTTATTTAATTACCTATTTATTTATTTATTTATTTATTTATTTATTTATTTATTTATTTTTTTCTTATACAGGAAAGTTATGCAAACAGTTCGTGATTCTCTTCGTCCTGAATTTTTTAATCGCATTGATGAATTCGTCATCTTTGATACTCTAAATAAGCGACGTACGTTTATTTATTTATTTATTTATTTATTTATTTATTTATTTATTTATTTATATTTATTTTATTTAGTTCTTATAAATTAATAAATATAATATTGTCTATTTTATTTGTTTATCACATATATATCTATACATATTTATTTATTTATTTATTTATTTATTTAATTTATTTATTTATATATTTATTTATTTATTTTGGGGCTTTTTTTTGCATGCATGCATGCATGCATGCAGAGATAAAGGAGATAGTTCGGCTAGAATTGATGCGTCTTGCTGATCGATTAATAGAAAAGAAAATTAAATTTAAATTAGATGAATCTTCTCTACAACATTTTGCTGATGAAGGGTAAGAAATAAATAAATAAATAAAATAAATAAATAAATAAAATAAATAAATAAAATAAATAAATAAATTAAATAAATAAATTAAATAAATAAATAAATAATTGTCTCCTTTGTTGTCTCCTCCTTAATTAAGTGTCTCCTCTACTCTAGTCTCCTTTCCTCTCTCCTTATTGAGTGTCCTCCTCTTTCTTTTCTTGCTGTCTCCTTAATGATGTGTCGCCTGTTTTCCTTCCTTGCTGTCTCCTTACTAAATTGTCTCTTTTTTTTGTCTCCTTTTTTGTCTCCCTAATAAAGTGTCTCCTTTTTTGTCTCCTTTTTTTTTTCTTTCCTTAATAAAGTGTCTCTTTTTTGTCTCCTTTTTTTGTCTCCTTAATAAAGTGTCTCTTTTTTTTGTCTCCTTTTTTTGTCTCCTTACTAAAGTGTCTCTTTTTTTTGTCTCCTTTTTTTGTCTCCTTACTAAAGTGTCTCCTTTTTTTGTCTTTTTTTTTTTTTTTTTTTTTTTTTTTTTTTTTTA